TTATTCTTTACTTAATATAAAAAAATTATAAAGATTGATTAAAATTTGAATGATTTTTATTAGAAATAATTATTGATTTTTATATTGGTGTACCAATCTTTTTGCACCAGCCCATAATTAAATATATATTTTGTAATAAAAAAATTTAATTAATAATCTAATAATTAAATAATAAATAAAACTTCTAATATATAAAATAACAATCAAAAGTAATAAAATACTTAAGTTTTTTATTACTTATAATTAGTAAAATATATATTTTTATTTCATATAAAAGCTTAATAAATACTTTTTGTTTTTAGCTTAAAATAAAATTAGAGTTCTCTACTTTAGTATATATTTTTCAGATTTTTTCTAAGAAAGTTACTCCAGTTACATATAAAATAATATAATTTTCAGATTTTTTCTAAGAAAGTTACTCCAGTTACATATAAAATAATATAATTTTCAGATTTTTTCTAAAATAAATTTAACTTTTATTAATTAATAATTAATTGAATTTACATGAAATTAGAATCTTTTATTCAAAAAAATCTAAAAAAAATATTTTAGAAACTCTAATCTATTTTGAGTCAAAAATAAAAAAATATAATAATAAACACTTTTATATAAAATGAAAGATATGAATTCTAAAGTTCAAAATGAATCGAGTTCTAAGAATTTCATTTGTTGTATAATCCAAGATAAAACTTATTTGAAAATGTAATTCTTTATTATTATATATTTGCTATATTTTTTAAAAATCATTAATTAAATCAATTTTCGAGTTGAGTGTATTAGTTTTCCAAGCCAACATGATTAAAACAGAAAACTTAAATAATAATTAGCATAAGTAATCTATGGAACAATGTGTGTGTGTCTAATTTTATGCGTATTTTCGTAATAAAAACTCTCATTTAATCAAGCAAATAAATACGCGATGCAATATCACCAACTATCCAATCCATGCCAACAAGCAAGTTTTCACCGGTGACGGCGCTACATGCTTGTATTGCCCAATGATGTGTGACAATTTCGTCGAGTTGTAAACCCTAAGTTTTATCATTATTTATTATCGTTATCAAATCAAATATGTAATCATTAAAAATTTAATCAAACCTTTCTTATTTCCTGATCAGTTAATGCGCCTGGAAGGTCTTGTTTATTAGCAAATACAAGAAGCGAGGCTCCTGCTAAACGCTGCAAACCGTTTAGTAGGATAATAAACATGAAATCCATCAGAAATAAAAATATAAAATTATACAATGATTATACAAACCTCTTCTTGTAACAAAGCATGTAATTCCTTACTACAATCGCCAATGCGCATTCGATCAGCACTATCCACCACCCAAATAACGCCGTCTGTCTGCTCAAAATAATTGCGCCAGTAAGATCGAATTGATTTCTGACCTCCCACGTCAAATACGTGCAGCTTATACCTATTTTTTCGGTCAATCATTAAATTGAAAAAATAAAGCTGCCGGAATTCCACTAATTTTTTTAATATAATTCTTTACCCATTATGTTCTAATGTTTCTATGTTAAATCCTAAGGTTGGTGAAAGTTTATCTATCGGTTCTCCGTTTAACCGTTTAAGTATTGTGGTTTTTCCAGCGTTATCGAGACCGCTTTAGTTATATAATTTGAATTGTATTATAGTTAAGTGTGCTGATTTTCTATCAAGAAACAGAGAATGCCATGGTCATATTTATAACTTTATAAATATAATTATAATTTTCCCTAATCGATGATAAAGTTGATGTAAAAATCGAGACCTACAGAACGAGTAACCGTATCTCCTTCTCACGCTGCCGAATTTTTCTTAGTATCGAAAGAAGCCCCATTTTTTCTAAAAGATGCTTGTTCAGATTTTTTTAAAAATAAAAATAAATGATTTTATTAATTGATAAATGCGAACTGGTTGAAATTGTATCATGTGATACTTGGATTGTTCTATTTAGGAAGGTAAATTCAAATTATTTTCATTGCGCATAATAGCACCACTTTTTGAACTCCGATTCCAATAATTGTACAAAAATGCCTTCAGATCCTCAAAATGCAGACTACGTTTACCACTTTGGTGCCGCAAACTCTTCTTCATGGTTTCCAAATTTCCAAGCAAGTTCGTCGTCGTCTTCAAGATTGCCACCACCTAGTTACGAAGCAGCAATTTCTGGGCCGGAATTACCCTCAAGAGTAGTACTTTCAAATGCTGCTTCTGGGCATGCTAGTGAACTTAACCAAGTTGTTGTAGATTCACCTTCAAATGTTAATAATAACGTCCATAATGATGATAACACCCGAGAAACACAACCTTTGATCTCGGACACGCCACAAGAGTCAAAGCCAATAACACCGACAACTAATTCTAAACTTCCTGAAGAATCTCGCTCACTTGATAGCAACAATAATGATACAAGCAATGTTGATAGCAACAATAATGATACAAGCAATGATACAAGCAATGTTGATAGCAATAACAATAATACAAGTAGTAATGGTGAGGACCAACAACCACAGCTTCCTCCGCCAGAATATTCACTTTCTGACGCGAACTTTAAAAGAACGCAGGAAGGTGTTTGTTCGGACGACGATAAACTGAATAAAGAGTCAGAATCATTGCTTCGATTTTTTCAAGCACATAATGATAAGCCCCAAATGGCTGTTTCCATACTTGGTAAATACATAGAATTAGATTTTGTCACTTATTTTTCAGTTTAAATTGAATGTTTTCAATTATTACTAAAGGTTATCACCAAGAGAGTCGGACTGAGCATTACGTTTATACAGACGATCAGGGAAGACAACAAACTGGCACTAGACAACATACACAGCAAGTGACAGATTTTCATCTTAATTTAGATCTCACAGAGTATATATCAGAGTATGGCAAAATTATTACGGTACCTAAAAAGGATGAACCCGCCAAAGAAGTTAAAGAATTGCTTGAAGAATACATTAAGCATAGAAATTCACTTAAAGAGATAGAAATGCGAAAGGTTAGAGCGAAAAACCCAGGATTTAGCGTATTGTTGTTTTTAATTCGTAAAAATAAATTAATTATATCCAATCACAGGTGGTAAACTGGGAATACGAAAGCATTTCAAGAGCCATCACTGCAGCAATCCGAAGTCAAGGATACACCAATTATATAACAATTTCCTATCCACTTCGAAATCACATCGTCGCCGTGCACTCCAATACAAAACTGAGTCGTTTTGCGCGTCATCCTGTCACAAAATTCTTTTGCATTAT